CAACTGTGGTGATGAAATGCAAGCATTAAACAAATAGTGCTTTGAAGAATATAATGTATTACATGAATGCAACCTGATATTAATTTTCATGTTAGTATTATTCTCATCCCTGCAAGTTTGGGTTAGTGAAAGGAGCTACGGAAGTAAATGTTTGTGATTTGCTTTGGTGATTTTATGTGGTTCTCTATCCAAGCATCAAATGTTGTAGAGTTTTTTTTTTCTAGTATCCAGACTTGCTGCCTTCACTTAGCCCTTGATAAATCCTGAATCAAAAACACTGTTTTTCTGTGTTCAGAAATACAGAGTTGTCTGTTTTGAAGGAGTCAAAGATCCCCCTTTGGAGTTAGAAGGAAAAATAATCATGTCTCACTACTTGAGAGCCTACACAAAGCCACGCAGGGAAAATCGCAGGGGCTGAGAGCCTGTGTAAAGCCGTTGACTCCCTGCAGACTCCCTGCTAGTCTGCGGCTGGGTATCCCCTGAAAATGAGACGGGGGCTAGTGGCTTGGAGCTCACAGGGAAAGAACTGCTGGTTCTAGAAGAGCAACCACCAAAAGCAGTCCACAGAAGGCTCTTTGTCATCACCACGATTTACTAATCTGCTAATCAGAGACACTCCCGGTAGCATGTCAGCTTTACAGTCTTAAAGCCCATCTTGCTCAGGAGAGGCTGTGTTAAGAAATATCACAGCATCGCCCACCTGGCTGCTGCTGCCCCCTGTCCCGTGGGAAAGTGCCAGGCGATGGGACCTTTACTCCTGTGACTAAGAAACCACATGCCCCAGTGAACACAACCAGACATTGCCTTGCAGCAGACAAGATGCTTTTTAATTACACCCAGATGCCTCAATGCTCGAGGATTTAATTCTACACAGAGACTAGGAGAAGGAAACTTCAAGGTGGCGTTCCTCCTGTGGCAGCGCAATACCTCTTCATGTTTATACCTCTCCCTGCTATTGGTGTTTATACTGTTTTACCCAGTGGTTTGCATATACAACCGTGAACTTACCGATTGTTGTATATGATTAGAAGCAAATAAAATATTTTCCTTATTTCACCAAAAGGAATGGCTCCCATAAACCTGCTACTTTTGCTGAGGTCAAACAGCCAGACTTTTAAAGAGAACTTCCGACTTCGATTCTTGGCTCATTTTGAAAAAATGATATGGTAGCACCATGGGCTTTGCAGCCAGACTCTACCCGGCACTAGCAATGTGTCTGGGATGGGCCACTTAACACTGCTGGCTTCAAATCCTGCACCCGTAAAATGGGTGTGGTTCTTGCTCATTTGTATGGTCCTTGAAAGGGCTAAACGAGGTTAGAGGTTCTGACAGAGGCAGCAGCGTACCTGTTTATAACTTCGACTCCAGAGCCAGACTGTCTAGGTATGCGTCCCACCTCCACCTCTCCACTGAGTGGCCTCGTGTAAGGGATTAACGCTTCCTGAGTCAGTAAAATGGAGGTAATAATAGTACCTCCCTCACGGGGTCGTTGTAAGGATAAAAAGAGTCTATATACCCAAAAGCACTTAAAACAGTGCCTGTCATTTACAGTAAACACTATAAGTATGTGCTATGATTATGATAGATTGTGATAATTGTGGTTATCCATCAAGTGTCTAGCACAAATATTAACTTTTCTGCAGTTTCTATTATTTCTCCATCAGAGCACTTGCTTTTTAAGGAACCGGAAGGGAAAAGTAATTGTATTACAAGTTTGCTTTCTGTTTTGACTAAACAGATGCCAACAGGGTCCTTTTTAAAAATCTTATTCCTTCACGGACTCAAATGTAATCTTTTGCCTAAGGAGAAAGATTTTTTTTTTTTTTTTTTTTTTTAGAGCAAGAACAAATTCTTGAGCCTCACCCCAGACCTCCTCAGTGAGAGATTCTGGCGCTGCAACCCAGCAGCCTGGTTTTGGTTTTGGTTTTCAATGTCCATTGACTTTTTTAAAACATTTTTTTTTTTAGAGTAGTGTAAGTTAACAAAAAAATTGAGAAGAGGATACAGAGAGTTCCCATATACCTTCTGCACATACACAGACTCCCCCACTATCAACATGCCTCACCAGAATAGTGCATTCGTCACCATTGATGACCCTACATTAACATATCATTATCACCCAAAGTCCATAGTTTACAGTAGAGTTCACTCTTGGTATTATACACTCTGTGGGTTTAGACAAATGTATAATGATATGTGTCCAGCGTTATAGTATCATCCAGAGTATTATCCTGGCCCTGAAAATCTTCTGTGTTCTGCCCAACCATCCCTTCCCTCCCCAACCCCTGGCAACCACCAATGTTTTCACTGTCTCCTTAGCTTTGCTTTCAGTCTGTTTTAATAAGTGTCCCAGTGACCCGCATGCTTCCTAAAGTTTGAAAACACCGGTTACAGACTCCTAAAACTTTGCCTACCTTCTATTGCCAGGAGGTGGGGGGCTCAACAAAGACTTGGGTACCCCATCCGTTTCATGGGTATTTCAGCCCAAGAAGTGTTAAGTGGCTGAATGAAGCAGAAATACAGATAGTCTGGAAAGCAGAATCAGGGGGGTGTGGGGAGGGAAAAAGCAAACTTTGAGAGCATGTGAGCCTGTTGATAGGCCTGGAACAGAATGTTTTGGGACTGGATCCTCTGGAAAGTGCTGATGTCACATGTACCATACTGCTCTGAGTGATGGCTAGGAAAAGGGACGCCCTTTGAATTTTTATGCAAGCTTAAAATTAGGAAAATCACGTCAAGTCCGAGCTGTTGGTACAAAAGGTCATGAATGCCAATTGGTGGCATTGCAGAGCTCAGAGAAGGAGTATTAAAATAGCAAATGTTTTGTTGTTTTAGTACTAGTTGCACTATGGCCTTGAGTCTCAGTTTTTTGGGGTTTTTTGTTTCTTGGGTTTTGTTTTGTTTCACCATCTTGTTGCCCTGTGATCTTAATTTAAAAGACCTATGGAAAAAGAAAAGCACCAAGCATTTTTCCACCTCCTGCAGGGAGGAGGGTAGATAGTAGGTAGTGGTCCTCAGACTAAGGACAGTGCAATATTTGCAGTGCAGTAAGCAAATCAGTTAAATGATGACTGCATGGGAAAGCGACAGTGGAGGTGACTGAGCAGGAATGATTGATTGTGGCCATTTTGGGTGACGTCAACACGTGTTTATTGGGGACCTAGCCCTGTGCCATATGTGATTTGTTTGAGGTTCAGCCCTGGGTGACTGAGGATTACAGTGCCTTAGGAAAAGAAACCAGTCTTAGAAGCGGGGTGGGAAAGTTGTAAAATGCTAGTTTGGTTTTGTATATACTGTGTGTGTGATGATAGAATAGCATCCAAATAGGTTTAAAAGGTCTGAGAGCCATATTCATAGAGATAGTTTTTGAAGCCATTAAGAATGGATTGATTATCTACATAATAAGGAAATCTGAGGGTCAAGGATCAAGCTTTTAGGAACACTGCAATTATAGCAAATAGAGTGAGAAGTCGGTGAAGAAATAAGAGACCACCAGAAAAGGCAGAAGTTGTCCCAAGACCATGTACCAGCATAGAAATCAAGAGGATATATATTTTTTTTAATTTTTTAAAAAGATTTTATTTTTAGACAGAGGGAAAGGGAGGGGGAAAGAGAGGGAGAGAAACATCAATGTGTGGTTGCCTCTTGCACGCCCCACACTGAGGACCTGGCCCAGAACCCAGGCATGTGCCCTGACTGAGAATCAAACCGGTGACGCTTTGGTTCGCAGGCTGGTGCTCAATCCACTGAGCCACATCAGCCATCAGCCGGGGTGAGGATATATATATATATATTTTTTTTTTTTTTTAAAGAAGAGAGATATGTTCTTTGATGTTGAAAGTGTGAAAAAATAAAAAAAATAAAGCATGTGTTGGCGGGGTAGGGGTAAGTAAAAATGTTAACTCAAAAAGAAAGTATCGATTTACAAAACAGATGATTTTAATTATATTCATTTAAGTCAGGGTTTCTTAGCCTCAGCGCGGTTAGTAGTTGGGCCAGTTAATGCCTTGTGATGAGAAGCTGTTCTGCGCATTGTAGGGTGTCGAGCAGCATCCCTGACCTCTACACACCTGACGCCACTAGTAATGCCTCCACCCCCAGTTCTGTCATCCAGAAAATGTCTTTGGGCAATGCCAGCTATTCTTGGTAGAGAACCACCAATTTCAGTATTTAGTTTCCTCCGTAGATGTCGTATTACAGTAGACACAGCAAGGCATAAAAATATGACAGACTTTAAACGTTCAGAAGAATGCATTCAGATTTTCCTAAATTGGTTTATTCTTCTATATCCCCTATTATAGTGGTTAAAACTAGACATATACATATTTATACATATATTCACATATACACGCATGTATACATGCTACATATACACATACATGTGACAATAAATCCCCAAGTTAATATTATGTAAATTTAATTATGGAGTGAATTTGGAAAAGTAGTAAATTGGATACACTGGTGATCCAGTGCTATGTGTTTTATCACAGATCAGTGTAGGAAATTTCGATTGTGGATCCATGACAATATTAGTAAGCAGTTTCCACAGTAAATTTTATGTATTCTAAAGACTCAGAATTATTTTTGCTCATTTTTTATGAAGATAAAATGTTCTTCCTGATCCATAGGTATATTATAGAACTTCTGATTTTTTTTAAAAGTGTGTACCATTTCTCTTTTGCTAGAAATTATGATGCTACATATTGCAAGTATTCTACCAAATTTCTAACTATAAATAAAAGATGGAGATTTGGGACTATAATTTGGCCTTAAAAACATTGGTAGGAAAGATTACCACATGAAAAATAGTTTCATGACAAGAAGGGTCATTAATGTTTGCAATAAACTCCCCATCAAAAGAAGCAGCCTGTCATTTTTCCAAACCCAGCTTCCTCATTGCTTAGGAACAACAAAGAAGATCTAAGCCTGTTTTGCTGCTGGTGACCTTGAACAAGGCCTGACCGTTGAGGCTAACTCTGAGACCCGTGTTTGCTTTGCAGACTGCATCATCTGCTATCAAAGGTGCTATCCAGCTGGGAATAGGATACACAGTGGGTAATCTCACTTCCAAGCCAGACCGAGATGTTCTCATGCAAGACTTCTACGTGGTGGAAAGTGTGTTCCTGCCCAGGTAAGACTTTTGTGTGTGTGATGATTTCCATGCTACAAAATCTTCCTTGGTACATTCCCACATTGAAGACTTTTCTACCAGTGCATGTGCAATGTACTGATGCACACGCTGGACTTTTATCAGGCCCAAAGCAACCCAACAGATGACTTCCTGTTGCATCAGGTGGCTTGCATTTTCTATATGGACATGGTAAATGGGTTTGTCCTGTGGGCCAGGTGTAATTAGTTGTGATAATGCCTGAAAGACCATATGAAGAAAGACTTTGAGATTCAGTGGGAAAGAATGCAGGCATTACTGAGTGATGCCTGCTTGGGCTTAGAATAAGAGGGCATCCAGGAAGCCGCAGCAGCTGTTAGGGTTGCTACCCCTAATTAAAAGGGAGGCTGGGAAGGTCACACTTGGCCCTGCATCTGAGTTCACTCATACACCTCCTTTTTAAACTTGACTCTTTCAACTTACCTTTCCTCAAGAAACTTTATGAGAATCCCAGTATTTTGATACCATATTTGCAAAAACACCAAGTTACCTGTATATGCCTCCTCTAATTTTATTGTATTTCGAAGGAAAAAAATCAATTCAACAAATAAACCTGAGACTGGATGTTAGCGATCATTACACAATTTAAATGTACTTAATTCCACAGCACTGTACACATAAAAATGGTTAAAATGGTAAGCTTTTTACTATGTCTGCTTTACCAAAATAAAGTAAACAAACAAAACATTTAAGTCTATTACTAGCTTAGTATAGGAAGAAAAGTAGTCATGATTAAATTGGAAATGTCGCCACTACCGATAGGTCATCTTTATATACATATGTGATTCTAGATACAGTATATTTTCTTAATATAAGTATGTGCTTTTACCTAAATATGTTTATTCATGGTCTAGCAAATAAAAATATTTTATTTTGGCGAGCTGGAAGTAAATTATTTTGTCTTTGGGACTCTGAGAATTGACTTGTCAGACACTTTTTTTTAAATGTTTCTTCAAAATAAGCCACTTTTGTTATTATTATTGGACTTTTTTTCAGTTAATTTTATTCCCTTTTTTTATTGATTATGCTGTTACAGTTCCCCAATTTCCCCCTTTGTCTCCTCTCCCAGTTTGCCCCCCTATTCCCGCAGTCGGTCCCCTCACCATTGTTCATGCCCATGGGTCATTCATACATAGTTCTTTGTCTAATTCCTTCATCTTCTTTCATCCTGTCCCCACCTTGCTCTCCGCCTCTGAAAGCTGTCAGTCCATTCCATGTTTCCATGCCTCTGATTCTGTTTTGCTCGTTAGTTTATATTGTTCATTATATTCCAGTTTTAAGTGAGATCATATGGTATTTTTCTTTCATTGACTCGTTTATTTCATTTAGTATAATAGTTTCCAGTTCCATTCATGCTGTCGCAAAAGGCAAGAATTCCTTCTTTTTTGCTGTTGCGTAGTATTCCATTGTATAAATACACAACAGCTTTTTTATCCACTCATCTACTGATGAGCACTAGGGCTGTTTCCAAATCTTGGCTATTGTAAATAATGTTATGAACATAGGGGTGCATATATTCTTTTAAGCTGGTGTTTTGGGATTCTTTGGACATGTTCCCAGAAGTGAAATCGCTTGGTCAAAAGGCAGTTCCATTTTTAACTTTGTGAGGAAACTCCATGCTGTTTCCCAGAGTGGCTGCACCAGTCTGCATTCCCACCAACAGAGTACTAGGGTTCCCTTTTCTCTACATCCTTGCCAGCACTAGTTGTTGGTTGATTTATTGATAATAGCCATTTTGGAAGGTGTGAGGTAATATCTGCCAAAATGGTTTTAATTTGCATCTCTCTGATGGCTAGTGATGTTTTCATGTGTCTAGGGTGCAATACTATAAAAATCCTAATGGAAAACATAGGCAATAAAATTTCAGATAACCTCACATAGCAATATTTTTGCCAATATATCTCCTAAGGCACTTGGAAACAAAGGAGAAAATTAACAAATGACTACAACACATCAAAAAGCTTCTGCACCGCTAAAGAAACCATTAGCAGAATAAAAAGGGAATCCACTGTATGGGAGAACATATTTGTCCATGATACATCAGACAAGGGTTTAATCTCCAAAATATATAAAGAACTCATACAACTGAACACCAGGAAGACAGACAATCCAATTAAAAAATTGGCAAAGGATCTGAATATATCCTGCTTCTCCAAGGAGGACTTACAGATGGCCCATAGACATAAGGAAAATGCTCAGTATCACTGGACTTGTGTGACACTGGCTGGGGTGACATTTTTACTCTTAGTGTTCTTGTTACCTTATTATTTTTTTTAATCTCCAGAAGAATGCTACTTATATTTATCTCTTTGTCCACTGTCAACTGCCTAGCAATAAAGCCTCTAAGTGACTATGACCCTGTAATCACAAAGGAGCCCATAAATAAATGAAAGTCAGCTATGAATCCAGGCAGCCTCATTTTCCTTAAAGATTCTCAGCTAAAGAATAAAGTTGATATATCAGAATTTTTGAAGTCGGCTTCTATAGGGTCCTTTATCAGGCACATGAACTAGTTTCTATACAGAAAATGGACAATCCCAAGGCCTAAGATACAATCCTGTTTGTTTATGACACTACTCTTCTTTCTATAGCTGGAAATTGTTCAGTGTTTTTAACAGTTCGTTTATCATTCCAAAACGTATGCATTAACTACATTTTTTTCTCTTTAAAATCATGAGGCCATGAATTTATCTTAATCTTTTGGTATGATCTTCTAGACTCATAATTGTCCTATAAATGTGTTTTTAGGATGTTGTAGCTCTCATTGTCTTCTAAGGCCTCTACTCAGACATGTCAACCTTATGTTTTTGTCTTCATCTACAGAGAAAAAGGAATGGGGACCTTTTGTGGGAGGGTGGCTGGCAGTGAGTTTGTGGTACTGGGAGCAGTTAGAGTTGAAGATGGTTTATAAAGAAGGGCAGGGTGCCCCATGCATTGCTGATCTCTTCTACTTACGTGTCCAATCAACGGGGAGAACCACTGAAGAGCACTGGGGAAAGTGTAGTCCAACATGTGGTCCCCCGACTTTCAGTATCAGCATCAGTTGGAACTTGTTAGAAATGCAGGTTCCTGGGCTTCACCCTAAATCAACTGAATCAGAAACACTGGAGGTGGGATCTGGGAATCTGTTGTAATAATCCCTGTAGATGATTCTAAGCACGTAAAAGTTGGAGAACCACTGGCCTAGCACATTACTTCCCATTTTAAAGGACAATCCTTCTAGTAAATACCAAATTTTGTTCTTAAACTTATTACATGATTCTTACAACTAATAAAACTCCAAGTGATTTTAAATTAATCTTAAATATTAGAATTATATTTAGCAACTAAATTATACATGACCCTGTATGAGATACTTTGCAATAAAGAGCACATAAATAAAGTCCTCCTAGGCACTTTCTTCTTTTATGATTTACTTTTCAGTTACATTTGATATACAATATTATATTAGTTTCAGGTGTGCAACATAGCAATTAGACATTTATACAACTTACAAAGTGATCACTCCCAATAAATCTAGTTCGCATCTAACATCGTACATAGTTATTAGAATATTATTGACTATATTCCCTAGGCTGTACTTTACATCCCTGTAAGTATTCTGTTAACCACCAATTTGTACTTCTTAATCCCTTCAACATTTTCACTCATCTCCCCAACCACCTCTTGTCTAGCAACCATCAAATCGTTCTCTCTCTATATATGAATGTTTCTGTTTTGTTTGTTCATTTATATTTTAGATTCAGCATATAAGTAAAACCATATGGTAGTTGTCTTTCTCTATCTGACTTATTTCACTTAGTACAATACCCTCTAGGTTCATCCATGCTGTTACAAAACAGCAAGATTTCTTTTTTTAAAAAATTTTTCGTATTATTTATTTATTTATAATTTATAACTCATGCTTATTTTAGTACAATTGTCTCAATTTTTCCCCCTTTACTCCCTCCCCCCATCTCACCCCCATCCGCTATTCCCACAGTCAATTCCCACTCTGTTGTCCATGTCCATGGGTCATTCATACATGTTCTTTGTCTAGTCCCTTCCCCTTCTTTCCACCATTGTCCTCTTTTCCCATCCCCTGTGGTCACTTTCGGTCTGCTCCATGTCTTCATGCCTCTGGTTTATTTTGTTCTTTAGTTTATTTTGTTGAATAGAGTCCCCTTATAGGTGGATCATATGGTATTTGTCTTTCATCAACTGGCGTATTTCACTTAATATTCTCCAGTTCCATTCATGTTGTTGCAAAAGGTAGGAATTCCATCTCTCTCTCTTTCTCTCCCTTTTTTCTCTTTCTTTTTCTTTCTTTCTTTCTTTCTTTCTTTCTTTCTTTCTTTCTTTCTTTCTTTCTTAATTACAGATTGATTTTATTTATTTTTTAAATGTCAAAGTTAACTATAAAATATTTTAAAAATTTAAATCCATTATGAAATCTCAGCAATTAAACCAACATGACACCAGCACAGAAATATAATTCAAGTAAATCAATGAAATATAATGAGCATTCTAAAGACAAATGTATATATTTGTCTAACATTGTAATATATGATTAAGTTGATATTTCAAATCAGTGGGTAAAATAAGGCTTATTCAACAAATAAAGAGCATGGACCACTATTACTTGAAATAAAACAAATATAGAGCCCTATTTCATACATTATACAAGAAGTATTAAGGTGAGTTAAAAATCAATATGTAGAATCTAAGGAGTTTTAGGAGAAAATACAAACTAATATTTTTCTTACTCTGAAGTAAAATATTCAAACCCAGAAGCTATAATGTAAAATATTGACAATATGACTACATTAAACATTTAAGACTATATAGTAATATACATATAAAAAAGTTAAAGGACAAGTAATAGAATAGGAAATTATTTGCAATACATCTAAAAAAACGGTTATCTAAAACACAATCAGATTAATATGTCTTAAAAAATATTGGTAATATCAAGTATTGGCAAT